TAGGAGCTCACAATTTGTTTGTTCACAGCATTTGAACCCTTAATCTCTTTAACATTATTAAATCCTCTGTACTGCATAGCATTAAGGTAACTTGAAAAGGTAAATTACAAAATCCCAGAAATGTAATCCCTCTTTGCTTGGCTATTTGGTACATTTAGTAAATACTAGTATTCACTACAGTTACTGGAGTTTGGTTCTTTGCTTTGTCAGATCCTCTTTAAAATTTTGTGGACTAAGGTCCTGAACTCACTCTTCCTCAGAACCAATCCACACCTTCTGGTCTGCTCCAAGGGCCCTGACTCCTCCAGTTATTCATCTCATGCTGCCCTAGAGGAAAATAACATCCTACAGTTCCCCAGTTCATAGCTGTTGATGTTTAAGAGTTGGAAAGACTAAAAGTTTTTACCAGTCTTTCTACACATGCACAGACCGATGAAAACATTTCCATCACTAATAATTGAAATTTACACACAGGCAAAGTAAGAAAATGGCTGCTTGAGAACTTATTTAAGTTTGATTTAAGGATATTTATTTAGTGTATTTTGACATGTGATGTTCCCAATTTGTGTTTTAATGGTTAAAAATAGTAAAATGTTTAAATATCCATGTCTACTGTCATTAAATAATTATACTCTGATACCCTCCTTGCTGTCTGGACACTGCCTCCCTATAATTTTCTGCAACTGTGAACATTTAAATAGATACAAATAGAAGAAAAAGTTTTAAAATAATATTATCCTTCAAAATTATTATCAAAAGTCTGCCAGACATATTGATATTGCTGGGGCCAGAGATAGACATTTCCATTAGGGAGCAACAAGGATTGTGTTGTATGTGTTGGAGAAAGGTTTTCAGAGGAGTAGATAAAAGTGATGAATGTGATGTTTGGAGTGGTTAAAACAGGGGTGGGAAATAATTTTAGAAGGAGGGGCCACTTCATAAATTTTTAAAGTGGCCCCAGGCTGCCCTGAAAGGGGTGGGGCCTTGGCCCGAATGGGTGGGGCCAAGACACTTTTGTGCTCCCCTGCCCCATACCGTGATTGTCCTGGGGGCAGGAGGAATAAGTGAAGTCTTTGTTTCCCAGCACCTAGAGAGAACTGCCACAGCTGACGGTTCCCTCTAGGTGCCACGCACCCTGGTGGTGGGAGGAGACTGCACATGCTTCCCCCACTCCCAGGCCAATCAGGGCCTGGGGATGAGAGAGCGTGCAAAATCTCTTGCTCCCTGCCCCTGCCCTGAAAGGGGCCCACAGTGCCTAGACTGAACAGCTGGCGATTCACTCTAGGCACTGTGCACCCCTGGTGCGGGAGGAGACTTTGCACACTCCCCTGTCCCCGGGTCTTGATTGATCTGGGGGTGGGGGAGTGGCAGGGCATCTGTGGGCCGGATCAATCCAGTTGGTGAGCCAAATCTGGCCCGCAGAGGCTCTCTTACCCACCCCTGTGTTAAGATGTTCTAAAGAAAGATACCTTACCTGAATATTTCCGTGGTTTAAACATATGCATGGATGGGCATTCGTCATAAGCAGTCTTCACTGAAACTTTTCTCTGTGGGATACACTTTAAGCACAGATCATTTTAAAAAGTTTCTCAGAATGCTTTCCATGGTTTAAAAGGGGTGGGCGGCTGCCTCTAGTGCAGTGGTCACCAACCAGTAGATCAGGATCTACTGGTAGATCTTGGAGCCTCTGACAGGTGATCCTGACTGGTTTGGCCAAGAGGCTACCAAGCGAAGCACTTCAGCTGCTCCTCTCCTCTCCCCCCTCCCACTGTGTATCTCCTGCCCTTTGCCTTGGAGCTGCCCCTCCCTGGGAGCCTCCTGCTTGTGGTGCAGAGCAGGGGAGGGAAAGGTGGGTGCTGATGTCAGGGTGCCCACCTCCAACCCTGTATTCTATCTCCACAGAACAGAGTGGGGAGAGGTGCCCACCTCCCACCCTGTATTCTGTCTCCACAGAACAGAGTGGGGAGAGCATAACAGAGCTAGGGATGGAGGGAATTTTCTGGCTGCTTTTGAGAGTGATGCAGTGCCCTGGCCAGGGCAGGGGTGAGCCTCCCTTAGCCCCACTGCACCACTACCCAGGAGCCACCTGAGGTAAGCAGTGTCCAGTTGGAGCCAGCTCAGATCTCTTGCCCCCGTCATGAACCCCCTTCTGCACCCGAAACCCCTACCCCAGGCTCAGCTCAAAGCTCCTGTCACATTCCAAATCCCTTGGCCCAAGAGCCTGCGCTCCAACCCTCTGCCCCTGCCTGGTGAAAGGGAGGGAGAATGTGGGAGGGAGAGAAGATGGAGTGAGCAGCGGCAGGGCTACAGAGAAAGGGCACGAATGAGATGGGGCAAGAAGATTTGGGTTTAAGGTAGATCCTGGATTGCACTTAAATTGAAAAAGTGATCTTGTGCTTAAAAAGGTTGGGGACCACTGCTCTAGTGGCTTTGGTTGCTGCCCTCAGCCTGCCGTGCCTACTTGCACACAGCCTCGGGTTCCCTCTTGAACCTGCTACTTTTGACATAAAAATTACTCCCATTTCCTATTCTCATTCTCTCTCTCTCACTCACTAATACGCCCCCGCCCCCTTATTAGTACACCTCACAATCTTTAATTGGGGCACCCAAAATCATTAAATCACTTTTGAAAATCTTGGCCTGTTTCATTAATGTAAGTGCATTATGTCACAGTATCCCATGTTGTATGATCCTGTTATTAAAGACCACAAGCAGTATGCATCCACTTGGTATTCTGTGGAGGGGGAATATGCCTGTATATATCTTTGGTAGTTCTCTACATAATGAAACAGCGGTAGCAGCTCTCCACAGCAGTAAGTATAACACACTTTTTCAGTATATTCCTGTGGCATATTGCAAATGTATGGCAAATGTGTGTCCAAGATCCGAGTGACATTGCATACTTTGTCCAAAACAGACAGCAAACTACACAGGGAAAACCACAAATGTTTGGTTAATGCTTGTAGAATGACCATGATAAATTTGTTCCATGTGACCTCAAAAACCCACTGGAAAGATTAGTCAAAAATATGCATAGCTGCTGGCAAGGAGCAAATGACCCATAGGGTTTCTGATGCCTTTATCTGTGTTTGTGCAGCTAATGTGATTTTGTTTGTTTGTGTGTTTTTGAGGCCAGGTCCCAAACATCTTCCAATAAGTGATGGGGCAGCAGACAGTTCAGGATAATGTAGCTTGGCTTCTGATTCTCTGCTAGTGAGGTCTCTCCTGTATAAGAGACTACTTTATAGATACTTAAGGCCTGTTCAGAACATAATCCCATGCACCTGGCAGACATGCATATATGTAAGGAGGCAGAATAGTTACAGGCTGTGTCTACACTGAGCCACTTATTCCGGAAAAGCAACTGCTTTTCCGGAATAAGCTGCGAGCTGTCTACACTGGCCCCTTGAATTTCCGGAAAAGCACTGATGATCTACTGTAAGAAATCAGCTGCTTTTCTGGAAAAACTATGCTGCTCCCGCTCGGGCAAAAGTCCTTTTTCCGGAAAACTGTTCCGGAAAAGGGCCAGTGTAGACAGCCCCGTAGTCTTTTCCGCAAAAAAGCCCCGATCGCGAAAATGACGATCGGGGCTTTTTTCCGGAAAAGCGCGTCTACATTGGCCACGGACGCTTTTCCGGAAAAAAGGCTTTTCCGGAAAAGCATCCTGCCAATGTAGACACTCTTTTTCCGGAAATACTTATAACGGAAAACTGTTCCCTTTTAAGCATTTCCAGAAAAAGGTGCCAGGTTAGACACAGCCACAGTGTTGGCATGTCCCAGCTTCCAGGGGGTCTAAGGTGAGCACCAAACACTGTTTATTTTTCCACCAATTTCTGTTTTATAGATTTAAGTGCCTCGTTCTTTTTATTTTGGGGGCAGCTTGTTAATTTGCAAGTGTACTGGATATGTGTATCTTACCCAAAGTGGATTTATTTCAATCAAAGCAATTTAAAGCACAATTTAAATTGGCAGACAGAAAGCCTTGATTTAAATAATCAGTTTTAACCTTGTTTTGCGTTTGTATTTTTTTGTTATTTTGCTAAAGAAAGTTTGATTCTTGCTGATTAGTAACCTTGAAACATGTTGATTTGCAAATAAATATAGACTTTACAGCACATTGAGTGATTTTGTTTGCTAACCTGGAAGCTATCTTATAGCAATACCTGTTTGTTTAAGCAGTTAGATAACTTAATTTATATTTATTCAAATTCTTAGTTTACATTTGTATTATATTAGAAAATAGTAAATGATGCATTTCTTAATTATTAGATGAGGATTAATATTTTACTTGTGATCTGTATCAATTTGTACTTGGATTGAAAATTGAATTTAGTTAAAATGCACAAAAACAGAATTTTGAATGCTTTATTAGCTACATACAACTGCTGTAGCTGTTGCTAGATAGATATTTTTTTCTTATAAAAATGTATCATAACATGTTTTGCATTTTTAAACTAATTGATTAAACAAAGGAAGTATAAAAGTTGGTGGATTTAACACTTTTCAAACAGCTTGTCTTTCTAGATTTTAGAACAAGTAGATCACATCCTCTCACTCTTTTTTCATAAAGAACAAGATTTCCTGCTTTTTCTACTCCCAATTGCTTTCTTAACTTTGTTTAAATGAACTAGTAATTGAACTGAGTTAGCTAAGGACACTGAAATGAGGAAAATATTCTTTCAGCACATTTAATAGAAGCTACTGTTATCAAAAGCTGATTTAGCACGTCAGTAAACTCTGGTTCCAAGTTATTAGCCATTGACTTTCATCAGTTCTGTGGACTTGAACTTTTGACTCATTGTCTCAGCTTTTCACTGTCAATTTCCACAGAAACTTTCCTCAAAATTCACAGAAGGGTGTTCAACCTTATTTGGAACAGGGTCCAACACATTCCACTGCGGGCTAAAAAGTCCATCTCAGTCTGTCCTGTAGGGAGCTGTTCCATACACTGTAAATAATTATTCACTGGCTCAAGGGCAATAGACTGACTATCTAGCCCAATGGTATTAGACTTCCTTGTGATGTGGGAAATCCAGGTTGAAGGTCTTCTGCCTGATTCAGAGCAGAGACTTGAACCTGGTTCTTCCTCATGTCAGGTGAGTGCCCTGGCTACTGTGGGATACCTGTCTCTCTTTTCAAAACCAGAGATTCTGTCCTAAGAATGCTTCCTAGTCAAAATTTTGTCAAAACAGACTCACACCTGCAAAAAGTTTGTTTCTGCAAATCAGCAGTTTCTAATTAAAGACAATTCATTGAAAAATATCTGACCACAAGCAAGTTGATAAGAGTATCCTCACTCTATTTCCATTTCCTAAAAGCTGAACAAATCACCTAAAACTTCTCCTTCCTGTGACCCAATTTTTCATGTAGCATTGCTATGATAGTGCCATTTCCTGATTCAGATATCAATGACATAATCTTTCAATACAGAAAGGTAGGAATAGTGGCTACAAAAAACATGCTGACTTAAAAGCTAGTGTTTTTCTTCCTAATGAATATTTGTTCTCAAATAAAATGGGGAATTCTTTATCTCATTCTTTTCTCTTTCTACAGAACTTTATTTCTAGCTTCTGACTGTCTTACGGGAGTCATTGAGGTATTTTGCATAGTAATCAGTGAATAGGTAGTTAGAGATGGATCAAAACACAGAATTGGACAAGATGGTATTTTGTTTAAAATTTTGTTTAGATCCCCAGTTCTGGACTTGTTTCTAATCCTACTCCTCAAACCCGAATGCTAGTTTAAAGCTAATCATGATCTGAGTATCACCACTTCGGGTTATCTGTACTATTGACTAAAAAGAGCAACAAATTGTTTGACTGCACTCGTGATTTGTTCTTAAAAATGTTCAGGAGAAAAAATAACCAAACTTAGCCAAATATATTGTGTAAAGGCAAGGCAAAGAAAAGGAGACCTACCTTCCTTCAAGGAAGCAATTCTTCACATTCACCTTACATAGAAACTGTGCTTCAAAGATATGCATTTCAGCTGGTAGTTTTTATAGTATGATTTTATAAGTTACAAATGTCTTTATACCTTACTCTAGGACAAAATGGATGGAGGAGTGGGATGAGGGTGTGTGGTCTGGACACAAAGTATAGGAGCAGGATAAGGGTGCAGGATCTTGAAGGGAGGAGGGGTACATGCGGGCAATGGGCTGCAGGGTCTGGGCATGAGGAAGATGAGGAGCACTTACCTGGCTCTGCACACCCCACCTTCCAGGCACCAGTCCCTGCTGCGCCCATTGGCCAGGATTCCTGCCAATGGGAGCAGCAGGAAAAGCTTCCAACTAAGCAGTTTCCTATGCTGCTGTTTCTCCAGCTAGGGGAAGGTGGAGCGGCAGCACATGGAGCCGCTTCCTGCCCCTGCAAGCTGGGTTTGGCCAGTGAGGCCCCCTGCAGCAGGAAGCAGATGCTGGTGCTCCAGCCTTGTAGGAGAGGGTGGGATGCCACAGGGCTGGAACTGCAGCAAAAGCTTCCCACTGCCATAGACGGAGCACCTGTACCTGTGGCCCACCTGCTTGTGGACCTCTAGTGCAGTGGTGCACAACCAATGGGTCATGACCCCCAAGGGGGTCATGGATGTCTTCCTGGGGGCCCGCCAATGTTCGGGCCCAGCCCCCGGCTGCCCAGATCTAAGTGCCGTGCCACACTTCTCAAATTATCTTGGGAGTTGCAACATGAGTATATGGAGGTTGCAGTTGAAAAAAGGTTGCACAACACTGCTCTAGTGTTCCATGGACCAAGCTTTGAGAACCACTGCTCTAGGATATATGCTTTTCATACCCGCAAAGGATAGGCACTTATTCAAGAGATTTGGTAACTTCACTTGTAGCCTAAAGTAAGGAGCACAATGTATCTGTTCTGCCTAAGCAGCAGTCACAGAAAGGAAATGTGCACCTTTGTTGATGCAAAGGGCAAGTGACAATCACACAATGGATGGGCCCATGGAAGAGCTATAACTAGTATCAAGACATTCTGGCTCATGGGTAACTGCTCAGTAGGGCCAGAATGAGGGATTGGCTTTCAATCTGAGTTCCATTCTCAATTAGCCCTATTTGCCTTTATTGGTAGGCTAGCCCTCTATAAGCCTTTGGGGTTGACCCCTGACATTTCAAACATCATTTGATGGGCAGCGAGAAAGCAAAGTATGCAACAAATATTGTGGCTGAGTAAAGTGTGATACTGTACAAAATACTGGTTTCCTTGGGCAAGGTATCCTAGTGTTAATTCATATGAAGTGTTAATCACCAACCCTCTCATATTTTCTGAAAGACTTTCCTCTGGATTCCATCCTCCTTTTTGGCATTCCTCTGACTTTGTCACCCTCTCATTCCCTCTTTCTTGATAGTTTACCAACCATTTATTTAGCCATGAATTTTCCACAGTACCACAGCAAGGTGTCTCTGGGATAGCTTGCATTTCTCCAGAATAACTGATCAAACTAGACTGAAACATGGCTAGGAACCATCCTTCAAAGCAATTGACAGTATTTTTGAGGTCTAAAGACGCCCCAGATGATTCTGGAAAACCAAAGGATGGTGAAGCCAACTGCTGATTCAGTGACACACTCCCATTCAGAGAGAATACTGTGTTGTACAGTATGCCTTATGTGCTAGTTCTTGTTTTCAAAAGCCACGTCTCCTAAATACTCAACAGAAGCCAAAAATCATGTGGAAGCCAAGCGTTCTGTTTCTTCACACAATGGGACACATCATTAATTGATTCCTTTTTTCTGTGTGAGTAGAGAATGGGGAAAAGTTTATGCTGCTCTCAAGGCTGCCAAGCTTAGTGATCCTAGCAACAGCACTTCAGTGTGTGATTTGACACGATCCTTGTATGTGTGTCAAGGAACAAAACAAAATGTACAATATTCATATTCCCTCTATTTATATGTATAAGTATCTCTCCTAGGCTATGCCTACTCTGCACTTTCGTCATTAAAACTTTTGAGACTGGGGGTGGAAAAAACACACGCCAGTGAAGGACAAAAGTTTTAATGACAAAAAGCACTGGTGTGGACTCTGCTTCATCAGAGAGAGATGCTGTCCCAGCGACAAAGCTACTGCCCCTTGTTGGGGGGAGGGCTCTCACCTGACAATAAAGAGAGGCTACCCTGAGTGCCTTTCAACCGCAGAGCTCTCACAGCACAGCTGCACCATTGTAAGGTACCCAGTGTAGACATAGCCTTAGGATAATAGAAGCCTGTTATTCTCTGCCTGACAACTCCATTCCAAGCATCCCCCATCTTGCTCTGCCTAATTCAGAGTCAGAATTTGGGGGTTTCCTCTGCAATATATTCCTGGTAAATATTAACTATTTTAGGTATATTTTGTAAATCGAGTGCACAGTCCCTCTGTTTCTCTAAGTTCATCCTTACACTGCAGACTGTCAGTTTTTAGTAATATTTGGCAAAATGTTCTGTTGTGCTAGTATTGGTTTTTCTGGTAATAAGCCACCTTTTCATTTTGGCAACATCAGCTGTAAAGAAAAAGCATCATCTGCTCTACCTTTCACCAATCGTTTTAATGACAGAGATGTCATTTCATTTTACTTGCAACTCTTCTATGCCATGCTTACTCTATGGGCCTGATATAAAGCCCATTTAAGTCAATTGTTCAGACCCTCAGCTAGTCTAAAAGGATATTGCTTCATTGGAGTAAATGAAAATATATGTCTGCAGAGTATCTGCCAAAATCTTTCCGTTGACATCACTGGTCTTGGATCAGGCCCAGATACTTTCTGTGGTACATATGTGCCATGGAAAAATACATAGTTTTCAAAAGCCATCTAAGAGAATTGTATTTCCCACATTTGATTTACATTAGATTGGGTACATTACATAAAACAAGAATTGCAATCTATAGACTAGATCCCTAAGGAAGTTAGTCATCAGGAAACTCATGCTGCCTCCTAAGTACTATATAATGAAGACTTACTGAGTTTGGGAACAATGTGGTTTTATTTTATATGACATAATGGTGCCACCTGCAGTTCAGATCTCTGCATCTTCACTAATAGCTTCTTATAATGTAGTTGACAAGAGTAAACCTTTTAAACAGTCATATGAAGGAAAGCACAACCATTGATCATGTGTAGTACGTACTACATTTCATGGTGGGCTTTCATTTATTTTTATGACCAGAGCTTCCTTTTCCTTGTGACTTTCCTTTAAAATTAAGATATGGGACTCATAAGATCCGAAAAGCTATTCCTTTGAATTGGTGGCCCGCTAGTGGCAACAGAAAAGGCAGAATAACATTAAGTACTGTTGTCTTTTTGCTACCATGCAACCACAGATTTTATTTCTCATTATCTGCGTGCATGTCACAGTTCAGGAAAACTGTGCTCTGACTAAAGATAGTCTCGTGTTCTAAGATGACAGAGTAATAGGATTACCATAGAATCCAAACATTTTTGTGCCTTCCTTCAAAATGTTGTTGTCAATTAAATGTGTGAAATTAGAATGTGTAATACACTTTTGCTGTGTTCTCTTAGCCCTAGTTAGACCAATGTTTTTCTATGTTGTTTTTAAATCTGATTCCCTGTGTGCCAAAAGACTAATAATTGACTTTATGGTAGACTAGTCACATTAGCAATTCTTATGCTGTTTTTTATGATTTGTGGTATGCTTTTGATATGTCATGCCCAGTACTATTAGTTTTTTCTTCTTATTTCTCTTTCTGATTACTGTTCTTGTTATTGGTGTGCAAGACTCTTTACAGAAAGATATGAAGGAACATCCCTATCTTGAAGAGGTAGCAATCTAAATAGGGGCCATGTGCAAACACAGGAGAGGGACGGAGAAGATAGGCACAAATCCTGATGCTGATAATTCTTTGTTAACCCTTTCCTGCAAAGGTGATATTAAAGGGTGTCTGCTAGCCAGTTAGACTAATCATTTTATTCTGCATGGATGCTTCACATTATCTATACCACATTCTGTTTCTCAATGGAGTGTGGTTATTTGAGTTTAACTACCAGCCGAGCTAATATACATGCATATTTTACAAAAGCATCCCTTACTTCCTGCAATCATTGTGAGATAAATTACCAGCATTAAAAGGAAACAGTTTGTGGTCATAATTACATTGGTT